ATGTGTGTGGCATGGATAGGCATCTGGTCCCAGTGAGACTATGGGTGCCACCAAAGAGGTCACAGTTAGGTCTCAGAGGAAGGGCAGGAATAGGGACCTCCATGTTGGAGATGATGCACACATGACACATTTAACAAAGATAGGTGCCCAAACCACAGAGACAGGTCCACAGCAGTGAAAATCAGCAGAGACCACCCCAGGCAGCCAGACGCCACCGCCTTCCCTCTGCCTCCTCCTGTCCTCACCTGCCATCTTGGCAAGAGAAGATAGAGAACAGAACTCTCAGAATGGAAAAGATATGTTCAGGACCTAACAGACACACAAAATCAACTCTGGCTACATCTACCTCTAACTGCCACCAGGGATGGTGGTTCAAAACCAAGAGACAAATTTGCATATCTAACTTCTACCAAAATTCCTATGAAATAAAACATATAGTCATAGCTGCTAATATGCTTGCCACACAACTCTGAGGACCTCAGGGCAGAGCCCCAGCACCCACAGTGAAAGCTGAGCCTGACATCCTGGTTGAGGGCACACCTGCAATCCCAACACTAATGCCTGCCCGCTGTTCAGCGCTCAGGAACTAAACAACGTCCTCTTTACAATGCCCACATTCATTTCCTGTCTGAGATCTAAAACAATACCCACAGGGTAATGACTGTGGGCTCACCACCTTGAAAACAGTGCAGAACCCCAAACAGGATGTGACTATCACCATCTCCAATGCACCCCATATACCTCGCATTATTACGATTTGAGTGAAGCCTGTGCCTTATTCTATTCTAATTAGCTCTCATTCTTAACAGTGCTCTGCATCAGTTCTCATTTGGAATTTCAGAAGCTAAAGGGAACGCCTTCTTAACTTTCACAGTAGATAACTGCAGCACCCAGTGGGAAGGTGGTTAATGAAGCTTCCTTGGCTCTTTTGAAATATATATTTGTACTAATCTTTAGCAGACTATTATGAAAACATCCATAATTAAGAATAAGTGAAGAATGGGGATAAATAGTACGTGCCTGATGAGCTAAAATTCTATAGGTTTTTTTTTTTTTCTGTCAGTTATGAGCTAACACATTAATCTGCAGCATTCCACCAATTCACCACAGACCTCCTTCCAGGTGTGGGGATCCAGTGTTCTGCTAATTTCTGTGCCTTAGGCGATCATTTATAATGAGCTGTGTGGCTGCATTATTGGTATTAGGCGCTTTGGGACAGCCTTCCTCATCCTTGGAACAATCATTATATTGCTTACAGAAAGTGGAGACGGTGTTAGACATAGTTGAAAATCATAATGGAGAGGAAAAGGGACACATGTGATCTGAAAGCACAAAGGAGGCTATTGGGGGGAGGGGTAGTCAAAGATTACCAGAGGGTAATGGGATAGAGACAAGAGAGGGAAGATAGTTTAGAAGGACCATAATGAAATTCAACTCTGCACATGATAATTGAAAATTTTATAAAAATAATAACAAATAATGAGGTAAATGAAAAGATAATAACAATTAAATAGTGAGGTACCCAGTGACGGTAATGCAGACTAGCCACAGAAGCTTGGGTTGAAGTCAAGTATCTCTCAATGACCTGTAAAGACTGAACACTCCATGGAGCACCTTGAGCTGGGTCAGGGATCCAGTGAATGTGTTTATCCACATGACAGACATACATGGATTTACTGCAGAACTGCCACTCGGACAAGCCAGTAACAGGTTAAAACCTTCTTCTAACACAGGCATTACACATTTGATTTAGCTGTTGCTAACTGCAATTGTACACCATACAGGCAGAACATGAGCCATGACAACTGTATACAAGGCACACTTGCTTTCTTTCCTTTCTTTTTAAATTGCTGGTGTGTTTCTGGTGTGTGGGGTGTTACAGGTGTGCAAGTGTGTTATGTGTGTAGACTAGAGGACAGCTTCAGGTCATTTCTTTTCATTGTTTAGTTTCCTGTTTGCATGTGTATCCACATGGCCATGCCATAGTATACATGTGGAGGTAAGAGGAAAACTTGTTAAAGTTTTCTCTCCTCCTACCATCTGTGTGCCTCGGGGTGAAACTCCAGTACACATGCTTAATGACTTACCTACTGTCTCCCAGTAGCCCTATCTTAGTAAGCCCAGTTCTGCTCTAAGTAGCCCCAGGCTACATCTCAGTAGCTCTGTGCTTCCTTCCTTACTGACTCTCAGTAGCCCCATCTTAGTTTTGAGGCAGTTTCTCCTACAGGACTGGAGTTCAGTGGGCAGACTAGGCCGGCTGTACACTGAGCCCAGTGATTGGCCTTTCTCTACCTTACCAATGTTAGGATTACAAGCATGAGCCATGGTGTCAGCAGTTTTATTGTTGCTGTTGCTGCTGTGTGTTTATCTGTACATGGTGTATGTGTGGGCCTTGGTACCATGGTGCGCATTTGGAGCTCAGAGGACAATTCTGTGGAGTCAGTTCTCTACATCTGTCTTTATGTGAGTTTTGGGGATCACTCTCAAGTTGACAAGCTAGGAAACAGAGTGTCTTCACCCTGGCCATCAAGCAGTCCGTGATCAGCAGGTATTCTGTCTTGTATTTTTTATGCATTGATTTTCTTTGAACTACATTCCCTCCAGAAATGAATGGGAAAGATCATGAGACTAGGGAAGTAAATGACTCACAAATAACAAGAAGTTCCTGATGTTAAAAAGTTTTACAAGGCCTTTCTCCAGAATGACAAAAGCAGGAAAATGGCCACTGGGAAAAGGAAACTCTCCCACCACCAGCCAAGAACTCCAAGGGCGCAGCTGACATGAGGAGTCACCCATACTGGAGCAGCCCTTCTATGCCATGGCTGCATTTGGGCCATGTCTGCATTCTATGTAACCCCTCATCCATATCCCACTAAGTAACCCCAACAAATGCATTAGTTTGCTGTCAGATTCCGATAGAACATCTCTTCTCTCTGCTCTTGGCGCCCTACCTGGAGTAAGTGCACACTTTTCACTTCTGCCCAGAAAGAGGCACACAGCAGTACCAGGACTGAACTCAGATCCTCAGGTTTACAAGGCAAGTACTTTATTGACATCTCTCCAGCCCTGTTTCACTTTTTAAGGAGAAGTTTGTAAACATTTTATTTATTTGTTATTTTTATGTGTGTAGGTATTTTACCTGCCTGCATGAATGTGTACTGCATGAACGGTGCTCACAGAGGCCAGAACAGGGCCTTGGATCCTCTCGGATTGGAATTACAAATGGTTCTGAGCCACCATGTGCGTGTCAGGAATGGAATCTTGGTCCTCCGGGAGAGCAGCCAGGTTCTCTTAGCTGCTTAGCCATTCCACCAGCTCCTTTATTAAGTATAAGTCATGGGCATTTTGTTTTTTCAACAGAAATTGTGCTGCCGCCATACTTATGAGACACGTCACATGATTTGGTAATTCTTACATCACAGATACACAGCCTCCTCAATATGTAAATTCTTTAAAAACTGTGCTTACAATTAAATAAAAAGAATTACTATTATACTCATATCTGAGTAAATTAAATCTTTCAAAATTTGTATTTTGACTTTTGAAGTCATGCTGTAGATTTCAACACATTAAATATTTATTCCCAAAATTCTCTGAAGCTGGTAAACACTCTTCAAAACTGCTCCCTCAGCTCTACCAATCGTCCTGTTCTTCTGGCCACAGCCTTGGAGTCTGATGTCTCCAATTGAATCCAATCTCCCAAAACATGAGAACACATAACGAGTAATGTCGTGTGCACTCAAGATTTGCTAAAGTGATCTGAGAAAGGCTAGGAATGAGAAGCAGAGGGAACAGAAGTGATAGAAACTTGCTCTGAGGAGTCAAATGCTGGTGCTGGGGGTGGGGGTGGAAGAAATGTTTTGCTGATATGTTTGAGATCTTCCACAGATATATTTTATAGCTTAGAACTAAAAATAAATATATAAAATGATCCTTCTCAAGGTGTTTTGCTAAAGATAAGAGGATTTCTATCATTTGATTTTAAACAAAATCTTCCCATTCCCACATGAATGTAATAAAAAATGATCCATTCATGGCCAACTGGAAACCAGTTAGAGCTGTGCAGTGTAGAATTTAAGACCAGGCTCCAAACTCTTACTAAGATAGGCAGAAGCAGCTAAATCTTTTGCTTCTTACTCTACCGAAAACATAAAATGTGTGTGGAAGGATGTTTCATACTGCTGCCTGATTTTATGAAGTCAGGTGGAAAATAATTAGCAAGGTGAGCCCTGCTCTCCACACGGTGCTCACTAGCAATAGGAGTCATGTCTCCAGGTTGTTCACTCCTGACAGGGCTACCTGGCTAGGATGTGCTCAGTGCTGATGTGACTTGATATGCTGGTGGGGTGGGCTCACCTTCTCTGAGAAGTGGGGGAGGAGGGATAGAGGACAAGGAAGGGAGGGTGAGACTGGGAGGGAAGGAGAAAGGGCGCTATGACCAGGATGTAAAGTGAATAAATAAATAAAAATTAAAAAAAAATTAAATCTACAGCTCAAAGAAAAACTGGAAAGAAAAACTCAAAATTATTTAGATTTGAGGTTTTGTAACAAGGTCATTACACAAGCAGCAAGCAGAAAGGTTACACAGCCCAGTAAGAAACACTGAAAGACAAATGTTATTTTCTTCTCTGAGTGAACTTATGTGTTTATCCTAAAGTGTAACACGATGACTAAGGAAAACAAATATTTATAAGCTCCAGGTGAGACACAACACAGACCATTAGCTTAGCATGAAGACTTTCTAAGAGCACTTCTTGATGCTCTGGCTTCACAGTAGACAACAAATTATAGATAAGTTCTGTGGAAGATAAGAACATTTGAATTATTTAAATTTATTTATAGAAAATAATGATGCCTACAACAATATAATGGATAGATGTAACTATATAATAATTACATATTTCTGTTTTTGACTATTTCCCTTACTTTAGGCAAGTTTTTTTGAGACAATAATGAAGAACGTTAGACAGAGACCTACTGGAAACCAAGTTTCTGCTTACCTGGGACAGCAGAGCCAGCTCCTGGTGACATGTGACAGCGTTCCGGTTGGCTTCCATAAAATATCTCTGTGTGCGCCTGCGCTCCCGTTCCAGTTTCCTCTCCAAGGCCAGCTGAGATGTGGATAAGTTGTCTAAATACTTCATCATGACATCTGAAATCATGGCACTAACTTCTACAATATCTGGACGGGCTTCTGCATCAGGAGTGAGGCACCTAAGAGAAACGGGTAACTGTAACAAAGGTGGCTGACGGGAGGGCACAGGAGAAGTCAAGTTCAGGGCTCGTGCATCATGGAATCTGTGCCCAAGAGCAGCTGGGATAGACAAGTATCCGACACAGCTCTGAGTCCAGCACTTCTCACGAAGACATCTGAACTCTGGGGAAGAGGGCAGCTCTAGGGCTTTGCATTTGGGCTCGTAGCCCACGGTTGTGGGCTGGCCTTGAACCTCCCACATCTCCTCTCCAGGAGAAGGAAGGGGTCATTTTCTGCATGTTTGACTGCCCACTGAAATTACAGCCAGCTCAGTAGTCAGGGCCCCTTTGAAGCAAGTAAAGAAAGGAAAGTTTCTGGGAGGTCACAATCTGTTTTTTTTTTTTTAACCTTTTTCAGATATATTCTGTCAATATTAACACAACAGTGAGTCTTACAAAACACAGACAAATATAAAATACAGAGGTGTGAGATGTTTATGGTGTCAAAAATAAAATACCATCCCCTAGAAGTCTGAGTCAGGAAGATCATAAGTTTGAGGTCAACCTTGGTTACTGTATCTTTAAAAGAAAAAAAAATGTAATTTTTAAAATATTTTAACTTATTCTTATTTTCTTATATTTCTTATTTTTAACTTTTTCTTATTTCTTATTTTTAATTTATTCTATTTTTAATATATCATTAACTTGAATCTGAGCTAAAACTGAAAAGCTGGTGGACGAAAGTTGCTCAAACATAAAGCAGGGAGCATTTTGACCTTCCTTGCAATTGGCTAGTAGCATCATCATTTTTTAAGAACAACAGAGCTTTATACTTATTGTATCTGATTAATTTCATTTCATTCGATCATATTGATGAACGTCTTATGCAGTACTCTTTGTTTTGCTTCTGATACTAGAATTTCAGGGACACAGGGATGTCTTCCGGACGGTCTTCATTGGAATATGTCTACATTGTCCTCGACTTGGCTTAAGTAACTTGACATGTTGAATGCTAATGTCTCCTCTAGCGTTACAAGATAAACACATAAACATCGCAAACAAGCAAAGCATGTTAGTGTCTCTGTGGCGTTGGAGGCAGCAGCAGCCTCAGGCTGAATGAGTACCACTCAAGTTTCATCTAGATATGCCAGAATGCCATTTACCCAGCCCTGGAGTCAACCAGCAGGACCACTGCACTGTCTGCATTTCAGTTTATAAACTATCGCCAGATGGGATTTTAATGTTCTGATTCATCACCACACTGTAAACTTCTTGAGAGGGAAAGGTTGTGTCCTTTCACAATGATCTTAGCATTAAGACGGAATCTGGCTCCTGAGAAGCCCTGGGTAAATGAGCGAATGAGTCCACGAATGGGTGAACACAGCCTGACACCTCAAGAATTTACCTATCCCTAACTACAATGTCTGGGCACAGGCTAATGGACTTCCGGAAACACATTAGCAAAGATTCCCATGTAGCTCCATTGCTCACTTGATATTTCAGACACCTTCTTCAGAGACACATGTACGCTAAAGCCTGACATCTGGTACTCTCCGAAAATTCCCTAACCAAATATGCATAAAATAATGTTCTGGCGGGGGGGGGGGGGACTGGAATACTGCTTTCATTCACCAGCTTTGTGGTCCAGAGATGAGATGGAAAAAATTGCAAGAAAGAGTGTTCGACTATCTCCATTCCATGTTTTATGAGTTGAAGGCAAGGAGATAAGGTAAGGATTCCCTTGATCTTAGAGCTCAAGGCTGGCTTACCCCTCTAATCATCACATCTGCTCGGAAACAAAGCTCCAGACAGCTTATGCAGCCAGGCACAGAGCAAAACTCGCACACTTGGAATAGTTAGTGATAAAAGGAAATATTCTTCATCCGAAAATAAAAGGAAAAGAAAAAAAGACAGGAAAGGAAGCCAGCACTGCTGTCTCCACTCAGTTCCACCATGCACTGACTGGTAAAAATAGCAATGCTGGTATCAGGCAGGGCAACAAGAGTCTGGTTTTGCTCTAGACTCTTCAGGGTTGCTTCAGGGGTTGCTAAATTATTCTCCCAGTTTAAAAGATTGCCTAGGAAAGAAAAGTTCCAATAACAAAATGTGTTACTACACCATGTAAATAGGAAAGAGGAGCACTGCGTGTTAGAAATACAAATACTGTGGGCTGTGTTTGATAAGAATGTGCAAAAAGCGAGGTGTTAGGAAACTCAGGAAATGAGGTGTGTGTGACTAGAAATAACAGAATCTGTTTACTGAGAACAACCATGAGAGTTGCTGCTAGCCTGTAACGGTAATGCCGACAGTCAGAGGCCTGAAACAGGATGCTGAGCCCCAGGCCAGCCCGGCTTAAAAAGCAGGATCCTAACACACACGCACACGCACACGCACACGCACACACGCACACACGCACACACGCACACATGCACACACGTATACTGGTTGTTCCAAGGCTCTGTCTAGTTGCTGGCAACTGACTCTGAACCTAATAATTTGCTGAGTTGTTGAAGGTTAGTAAAAACTCAGCTTTTATATAATCTTGCACCAATATTTTAAAGAAACTGAGAGATTGAAAAAAAGGGGGGGGTCAGCAATAAATTGTTCTCTAATTCTTTTAGGACTTAGTTTTTCAACACTAAAATTTCAAAGCATATTAAATATGTAATTGCACTTAACTCAATAATTTTTGGCTTGAAGTTTTCTAGAGATAAAACTTTCTTAACAAAAATATAGACAATTAGGAATCTTAAATAACTTTAAGTGAAAATAATGTCTGTTATAGCATACACCCTGCAACCTTAAATTTATAGTTAGCTATAAAGTTACATTGTCAGGTCTAACTTATTGTTGTTTCTTAGCATGTTAAATTATAAACACCTTAAGAAACATTTCATCTGGGGGCTGTGGAGACAGATCAGTGGGTAGAGCACTTGCCAACAAATGAGTAAGGACCAGAGTTTGGATCCCAAGAACCCATATGGAAGCCTCTCAGGTGAGATAGCCAGCACTTGGAAGCCAGAGAGAAGGGAGTGTCCAGGAAAGTTGGCCAACTAGACTATGCAATTGGTGAGCTCTGCATTTCATTGACAGACTTGGCCTCAACAAATAAAGTAGAGAATGATCAAGAGAAACAGCAAGCATCAACACTGGCCTCCAGACACATGTGCAAAAACACATGCACCCACATACATGTGAACATGTATGCAAACATACATACATGCATGCATACCACAACACCATGCACTCGTAGATATGCCAAACAACAACAACAAAGCATTTCATCTGGAGGCCCTGATACGTACTATTTATCCTTTGAAACATCATGATGACAGTGAACTCAGGACTTACTATGAAGCCTGCTCCTGCACCTCCTCTCCCACTGCCAAGCTTCCTCCAGACAACCATTGCTAATCTTGGGATGTACTTCCTGAAAGTGATCTTTTCTTATCTTGCTGGGGACATTTATCCTTCCCCTGGTCTTGCTTCCATGTCTCAAAGTTGTAACTGAATAAATCCAACTCTTCCTATCTCTAAAATCAGTCCACTTGTTTAGCTAAAAGAATTTGTTTTAGTTGTCTTAACACTATACCCACAATCTACATTGTAAGCAAGATTTCCCACCCTCTCCACTTCTCCATCAACACCATATAGTTCTCTGTATATAATGAAAGCTCATATCCCTCCCTCTTCCTTCCCCTTTGCCTGTCCTCATGAGCCCACCAACATAAGCTTTGCTAAAGGAGATGCTGTCACTATATGCCACTCTGCTTGCCACCCTTAGTGATAATCCCTGTTCCATCAAATGATGAAACAGGTATTCTTCAGACCTCTTGGTCATAAGGGTCTGCTATGACCAAGATATTCTATAGATTCTGAGGCTCAGCATTAGATAAATGTGGAGAAGGTAAATAAAAATAATAATAACAACTCTACAAACAGATGAGGCATTAACCTGTATAAAACAATGGGCTTGCAAGAGTAACCAAAGAGCCAGGGTAAAGGCCATGATAGTACACCTACTAAAATTCACTGGTGATGGTGATGATACATGCAGGATAGGCATGAGTTCAGGGTTTCAAAGTCTTAGAAAAAGGCAGAAACTTGTCCATCTAGGGGAACTCTAGAACATTTAATAACCAAATTAAACAAGATTTGGCTCATCTGGATGGAGCAGAGAAATAATGTTGGTCCCATGCAAGTGTCAAGAGGGCCTTGACATTACTATGAGTTTTCAGCCCTAACTTCCCACAGTCAGTGTTGACTGAAGGTCTGGTCTATGCCAGGCACTCCTCTGAGTAATAAATAGGTCAGAACCAAGGTAACAAGTGTCTGCTCTCAAGTTTAGCTAGTAGAGACAATCAACAAGCAAGCACGAGTGTGCTTATGTGTGATATTTTAGGACATTTTTGTTGTTGCTGTCACCAAATATTAACACCCGACAAAATGCAACTTAAAGAATGAATTATGGGTTTATTTTTGCCTCTGCTTTGAGGCAGCCATATCATCCATATGGTAGAACAGTGCAGCAGCAGGACCACAAGGCAAGGAAACATGAGTGGCTTCTAGTCTAGCTCCTGGCAAGGGTTCTTGTGGTTTCTTCCTGAAACTCCAAGAACTGGGTGTTTTAGCACTCCCCACAACACTCTAGTTTTCAGAACTCTTACCATAGTGGTCCACTGAGCTCTTCTTACAGCGCTCTGGGCCTTCTTTACACATAGCTTCAAGCTCTTCCATATTTGTTCCACAAACCAGTTACACAAAGGTCTATAAAAGATGTGCTCAGGTTTCCCACAGCAACAATGCCACACTTTAGGTACCAGTTTTGTATATTCGGCTTCTCCCCCCTTGGTGTCACAATCAAATTATCAGACAGAGTAATCCAAAGAAAAAGTGTTCATTTTGGCTCCTCACTTAAGAGGGGTATAGTCTATGATGAGGGGACAGCATGATGACAAGAGTGTGGTGTGATGACATGTGAAAGGAGAGAATATATTGCTGCTCCCTTTCTTTCTCTTCAGTCTGGAATGTACTTCATATGGGCACTGAAAACATGCCGGATGGATCTTCCTTCATCAGTTCAACCTTTCTGGAAACTTTGCCACAGATATACCCAACAGTATAATATGTCCTTGAGGTGATTCCAAACACACATAAATTCACAGCAAAGGTTGACAGTCAGAGAAGTACAGACGCTGTGATATTATGAAGTGGGCTGGAGTGCAGTGAGGCAGGGGAGTGGTTAGAGTGAGTTTCCTGACCTGAGATGTTTCTGTGACAATCCAAGGGAAGTGAGGGGAAAAAACCATGCATATGTCTGAAAGGAGAGCATTTCAGAGAAAAGGATCAGCAGGGGAAGGTCATGAAGGGAGTTGTTGGAACCTAGAGAGCAAGGGGCAGGATAGATCTGAATGTGAGGCAATCAAGGACAGTTTTTACAGTCAGGAGAGATGCAACACAACTCTGGGAGGACAGAGGGGCAGCGACCTTTACTAAACTGCTGCTATATTAATGGGAAAAGCCTCTCATTTTTTTTGAGAACTTAGTATAATACAGTTTACTAACTTTTAAAAATACCCATAGTTTTATCATTGAACACAGATAGCCCTTTTTAGCTTATTACTCTCTTTTTTCATCTTTGTGCATATTTCATAAAAATTGATTTTACTATTTGTTTCACTTAGTTTCACATCACACATTTTTCATGTTGACATAACGTCTTATAAATATGCCTTAGATAAGCCTAATTGTGGTATGACATCTCAAATTCCCCTTGGACATCCCAATGGCTTTCAAAGAGCCGCTGTTACTAATGATGCTTGCTAGGTTTGGATGACATGGGGAGCCTTTCATAAGTATTTACCTATAGGTAATGAACATAGAAAGGCATAAGGGATTATATGATGGATGCTGTATGCTATAAGTTGTCAGACTACTTACCTGCTAATGGTATCTGTCACTTTTTCAGAGTAGATGCCTTCTGGCACGGGCTCATACACCGCCTCCACTATCTGCAAGAAAAACAGAAAACAGCAACATTGTCAAAGGACCACGGTATCTATGGGCAGTCATCTGTGGCTTTAATGTGGGTTGCTAGTAAATTAATTTAACTGCATGTACAAATTTTAAGCAGGAATGAAAACATCCCAACAAATGAAAATCAGTGCCAATTAGACAGTTCTGGAATACAGCATCATCTTCTCCAACCTGAGCTGAAGGTAACCTCATGATAAAGGAATACATGTGATGATGTAATATGGTGGCTTATGGGCCTAACTGGGCCTGGGAACGTAGCTTAATAGGAAAGCACTTGCCAAGCATGTGCTAGGCCTTTGGCTCCACGTCCATCATCACAAAAGACAGTAATGAGAAATTTATTTTCACTATTTCACATGACAAATGACTATAATCAAATAGAAGTAATGTGCAGTGTGATAGATATTTAGATAAAAGGAGATAAGATAGCTGGGTTGTGTACGAAATTAAATTAGCTGACTGGTGTAAGTCACAAGGGTTTGTGGAGAAGAGGATGTAGCTTTAGCAACGGGAAGTGGCCTACTTTAGTAGCCAAGGAGAGCATATTGGTACTGCAGAAGGGAGGATTCAGAGTCGCCATTTGATAGAGGATGCAGCCTGCAGCCCAGACATCAGCCTTCTCTCCATACGGCTCACTCTTCAGGACCTCTGGGCTGAAATACACAGGGATATTAACACATACTGAGGAAAGGAAAATAAATTGGCACTGGAAGAACTTCAACTTTCAAGTTGCTGATGTTGATATAAAAAACAAAGTAAATAGACATCAAAATGACTCCTAATGACTTTGTGCTAACCCCGTACTTCTCCCAGCTTTTCTCAGGGAAATGTCTCCTTGCAGTAGATGGCAATTAACAGAGACCTCGACTAGTCAGTGTACAAATAATAAGAGAGTGTAGTGTTCAGCCGTAAATGAGAAATGTGTATTACACTTCTCCTCTCATTCCAAGGCATGGGAATCTACACAGAAGAGGTAGACAGAACAATTGTAGGAACCAGAGGCAGTGAATATCATTAGGTAGAGAGTTATGTCCAGACACAAGAGGGCAGATATACTAACGAACTTATGCCAACTGTGACAGTACGCATGAGACCTATACAAGCTCCAGCCAGACAAAATCTTGGATGGAAGGTGGACACAAAAACCCCACCACTTCCTGGGGACCTATTGGTATTTCAGAGATACTGGGAGAAGCAGTCAGTTTTCTCTAATGGCATTGTATCTGGCAGGTCTGTCTCACGCCAGGGCAGGCAGCACTGCCAGGACTAGCCGAAGCACAAACCGGACTGTACGGGGAGAGAAACATGCAGAAAGGTATCTCAGAGCTGGGTGGGAAGCGGTGGGTAGTTGGAAACGGTGGTTCTGGGAGGAGGTGACGCAGTGGAAGAATATGTACAAAACACACTGTATGACATTCTCAAAGAATTAATAAAAATGTCATTTAAAAAAATACTAGCATTTGAGGGGTGACAAGATGGCTCAATCAGTACAGGTACCTGCCACCAAGAATGATGATATGACTTCGATTCCTAAGACCCACAGGATGAAAGGAGAGAGACTGACTAATACAAGGTATATTCTGACTTCCATACATGCACACACAAACACACACACAGTAAATGTAAAAGTAAAATGCTTAAATTAAAAAATAATTACCTGAAATTGTTCATCGCTATTTCAAGTAAACATAGTAAAGAGCCTCTTTGAGCCTTGGGACATAACTCAACAGTAAATCTACATGCCTAGCATATGGAAATTATATATTGGGTCACCAGTACTATACAGCACAAATAAACAAACACATAGTGTCCTTGAACTGTGTTGGCCTCAGATGAATCCAGAAACACAATCAAGCAATTCAGTTTGTGCTGAAGAGTTTTGTGTCAACTTGACACAAGCTAGTCATCTGAGAGGGGAGAACCTCAATTTAAAAAAAAAAAAATGCCTCCATAAGATCAGCTGAACACAAGCCTGTAGGGCAATTTCTTAATTAGCTATTGATGGGGAAAGGCCCAGCGCATTGTGGGTGGTGGATTCCCGAGGTTGGTGGCCTGGGTTCTATAAGAAAGCAGGGTGAGCAAGCCATACTAAGCCAAATAGCAGCAGCCCTCCACAACCTCTGCATCGGCTGCCTCCTCCAGATTCCTGACACTCAGGAAAGTGAAATGGGAAGATTATGAGTTCAAGGACAGCCTTGGCTATATTGCAAGCTCTGAGCAAACCTGGGCTATCTAGTGAGAGCCTGTCTCAAGGGGGGAAAAAAGCCACTAGGAATGTGATGAAGAGTCAGCCATGTGAACTGGTAGCAAGCAAAGAATAGAAACCTCTGAGGAAACCAGGCTTGCAGACACAACAGTCAGATCCAAGACACAGTAACTTCAGAATCCTAAGCCACCCAGTCGCTGTATTCATGGCAGCCCCAACAAGCATCAGTTCTGTGAAAAAAGCTATTCATGGATTTTTCATCTTTATGAAGAAACCAGCTTTTGGGAAATATGGCTTAAGCCATTGCAATCACTGCTTGCAAGCATGTCAAGTGGCACACACGTGTGGTTATTGTTTAGACAAGAACTATGAAACAATCCACCGTCTTGTAATAACCTCTAATTTTCTCATGTGAGATGAGCCCACCCACACTAGGTAAACAAGGAACTGAAGCTAACAATTCTTTTATAGAAGCTAAACAACACAAACACATGCACATACATGTAAATAGACACATGCACACACAATACAAATACAAATACACATGTGTGCAAGCACACATATACACACACATACTTAAACACACACACGCACGCATACACACATGCTCACACACATACACCTCACATAATTCATTCTTTAAGATAGATTTTCTTAGAAAAAAGAAATTAGTCTGGAGCTGAAATGACACATTATTTTTTTAAAACATCTCTTACATTCAGAGTCTGAACTTCCAAGTCCCTCACAGGCAATTTCATAATACACCCTGAGATCACATATGATTTATCCTGCTATCCTACTGTGCACCAGCCTGTTTAATGTTAGCCTGCCTTTATGAGAACAGTGTGAAAATCAACCATACTTGCCTCCAACTCTCCCATGTAATCAGCCTTAACAGCCTAAGATAATGTAATCGTTAATCTTAAATTATGCATTCTTTCATGCCCCTAACTGAGAGTAATCTATGTGCATGTGTGTCATGGTAATAATTTGATGAAAATAGCCAACAGGCTAGAAACAACTTACAAATGTAATTTGTGTTTACAACACTGAGTACTTCAGGGTCCTCTGGGGTCAGTTGGAACCAGTGACTTAAATCATTGTAAAGCTCTGTTAAGAGCTTTATTAATTTATTTTTCTACATTTCAACTTCACTTTCTTCTCCTCCTCTCTTCCCAGTTCCTCTTCTCTCTGATCTTTCCCGCATCCATTCCTCCTGTTTCTCTTTAGAAAAGGGCCAACCTCCCATGGATATCAATCAAACATGGCATATCAAGTTGCAATAATACTAGATACCTCCCTTTATATTAAGGCTGGCCAAGGCCACCTTGAGGAGAAGGGTCCCAAAAGCTGGCAAAAGAGGCAGAGACAGCCCTGTTCCCAAGAAGACCAAGTTACACAACATATATGCAGAGGGCCTGGGTGAGCCCCATGCAGGCTCCCTGGTTGTCAGGTCAGTCTCTGTGAGCCCCTATTGGCCCAGGTTAGCTGATTCTGCGGGTTTTCCTGTGGTGTCCTTAACCCCTCTGTCTGCTAGATTTTTGTAAAGTATCCTTCTTTCTTTTCTCCCAGTGATGCCTCCTGTACTGTCTCATCAGAAAGAGAACAAAGCCCTCTGTTAGGGACAGACAGAAAACACGGGGACAACAGTGGAGAGTTCTAATTTGGGCTCACTCTTGGTCAGACTAATCCAAGAGGAAGCCTGTGTTGTCATTCCTTAACGACTTCATCAACACACAGAGCTTATCTTATATGACATTTTAAAAAAGCAGGAAATTTTTTTCGACAAACTGAAAACCTCTTTAATTAAGTATATGAAAACTGTAGTCATTATTCTTTATATACAATAAAAATGTTCAAGTAAACCTGAAGATAGTGTTAATTGAGCACATATGTTCTCTAAAACCTTCTAGAAAACAAGCATAACTCATAGCCAGCTACCTCAGAGGGGGGGTAAACTATCATTCTCCTGAACCACACACAGCACACACACCACATACACACACACACTACACAGCACACAGACACACTCTGCACATATATACATACCACACAGCACACACTACACAACAGACATTACATATACCACACACACATATATACACACCACACCACACACACACACCATACACCACACACTCTACAACAGCCATTATCCACAGCATACACATATACACATACCATACCACACACACACACACACACACACACACACACACACCACATTGCACATGTGTGTTCTAGAAGGGAGATTCCCAGATAGTAAAGGCAAAGTGAGAGAAAAATGAGGAGGCTTGATCTACTTGAGAAACAAAGACTGTTTCTATTTTAATTTTTCATGAGTTCTCCCTCGCCGATATACAAACAATTAAACTGCTAATTGCAAGTAATTCTTACTAACTTAATGAACAAGGAAAATAAATGTCGGACTTAGTGAATTTAAAGCATACTAGACCTGAACATTATGACAGTTTTTAAACAATTTACTTTCTTCTCAATGGAACTCAAAGTTCTTTCTTTACTTTCTTCTCAAAGTAAACAAAACAAGATGACCCATGCTGAGAGCCTTGTGTGTAGGAAATAGACTCTTCTTTCCACACAGTGATACTCAGAAGCTAAAGTTTCACTGTGCTCACTCTACAGACACACACACACACACACCTTGATGAGGGACACAAAGAACCTGAAGACTGCTATGAACCCTGTACAAGTTGACATGCACATTTTTTAAATGCCCAGTGTTTTGGAAGTACTAATATGAAAACCAGGCAGATATGCACATAAAAATGACAGCTGAGCTATCAAATTGTTTTTCACAGAAGAACAGAATAGTCGTTCTGCCACAACGTTACAGGTGTACTGGAAGAGATCAAGTCAATAATTCATGACTAATGCTTGGGTAGCCATGAGAGGGAAGTTAGAGGAATGGAGATAGTCTGCCCCTGCAACGGTAGAATTGGAGACTACAGTAGAAACTGTTTAGCTTCATGGAGATATAGATGGCCACATGCACAGAAGCATCAAGTCAACCAAGGCCCGGAAACACAAGGCCCAGCAAGCAATGGTCACATGGCATCAAACCATGGCTTCTGATTCCTTTCCTCAATAGAAATAATCAGTTCTCACTTCAGGAATGGCTGGTTCTAGGGCTAAGGCAGAAAACCTATGCAGTTATTCAAAATGAAAGACACAAACAAAACTACTCATGATGAAAGGAGCATGTCATAGGGATATAGAGGCAAGAACTGGGACAGTCTGAATAACACAGCAAACAAACTAGCTTGCTAATCAAGTTGGCTGCCATTAACAACACGCCATGGACTACAGCAGACAATAGCTATTTCTGCCTGGCTCTGTAGCCGTGGAAGTTCATCAATATGGTGCCAACCAGTTTAAGTCCCCAACTAGAACGGGCTCTATTCCTTCCTTGAAGACAGCTCTTCCTTA